CATGTCATCTCACCACAAACTCCCCTTGTATGGGCTGTTTCCTTTGCATGATGTAGCCCTACTTCTATTTCTTGGAAATCCATCAAGAATGAGTGAAAGCTTCACCTCCTCTAGGAAATCCTCCCATGCTAGCCCCAGACAGAGCTCTTCTGTGCTCTCTCAGCACTAGATTTGCACCAGCATTGCATCCCATGCATGTGTAGACACTTAAATACTTGTAATTCTCAACAGCCTGGAAAAATGCTCCACGGTAAGCACTCGGCTGTGCTCATGTGTCTATTGCAGACTTCCAATCACATTGTAAGAATCATAAAAATGTGTGTTGAAGGACTAAAGGACCCATTGACTAATGAATGTGTTCTCACTTGCCCTTATACATGGAGTGCCAGAAAGTTGATCAAATCTAACTTTATGGAATCAGGTTCCATTTTAATGACATCAATTTCTGCTGCATGATCTTATTAAGGGTGGTACAGAAGGGGTGAGAGACTGATGCGAACCTATGCTGATCCCAAATTATCTCAGAATGTTACTGTGAGATAAAATATATATGTATAAGATATATATAACTTAGAGAGTTTTTTTGCCACCTTTACCCTAAAATGAATGCAAAGACATAATTCTGGGCAATTGAATTCTGAAGCAACAATTGTAGGTTACAGCAGATGGAATGTAGACTTTGGAGCTAAACAGAATCACATCTGAAGTTCAGTTCCACCACTTAACTCCTGTTCTGAGCTTGGAAAAAGGAGCTCACCTTTCTGAAAACCACTTCTTCATCTGTGGGGAGGAAATGAAGAACTCTTCTTCATAGGAATATGTAAGAGAATCATTCACAAGACACTTTAAGTCTGAGGGTATGAAGAGCATCATGACTCTCCAGCTGTGTTTTCTGAACCACCTACAGGTGGATCCACTGATGATGGAGACAGGAGAGAGGAAAGAGCAACAGGACAGAAAGTAGGCCACTAGTCTGTTCCTGTCTTTTGGCAGAGCCTGCAACTGGGCTCCTGCCTTCAGATCCGGGGATCTGCACTTTCATTTGGTCTTGTAGCCTCTCAAGTGAACCTCCCCTTGTCTCACATTCCTACTGCTTTCTGCTGGCTCAAACTGATATTATCCACACAGAATCCATCCAGCACAGCTCAGAGTTAAGGAGTCAGAGCTGCAAACATTTAGCTAGTTGATGGCAGAATGAGGACCAGACAGAACCAATACTCTGACCTCTGATTGCGCAGTCCTCTGCACTACATCCTTCCTCCTCTCTCAGCAGGGAAACTCTTCCTTCTGGGAAAAACTGAATAAATTACCTTGCAAAATTCTATAGGTTCTTATCAAAGTATGTTCCTGAAAAGTGTAGAAAATAACTGATAATATATAATAATGGTAAACCAGGAATAGTTGAAACAAAAATGAGAACACACAGATGATACTTCACTTTTGCCTCTTAGGGAAGCCAGATCCTTTGACTCCCACCCCCACCTTCCCTCCTCAAAGCAGCATAAATGACAAGAAGAAATGAAAATGTTTTCCCTTTAAATTTCTTTTTACTTTTAATTATTATGGGTACATAATAGTTGTATACTTTTACAGGGGATATGTGATGTTTTGATACAGGCATGCAACATGAATTAATGAAATCAGAGTAACTGGGATGTCCAAAACCTCAGGCATTTATCATTTCTTTATGTGGGGAACATTACAATTCCACCCTTAGCTATTATAAAGTAAAGTCTAACTTACTGTTTATTTTAGTCACTTTGTGGTGCTGTCAAACGTTTTCATTCTATCTAACTATATGACTACATTTAACTTTGGTTTTGCGCCCATTAACCATCCCCCACTTTATCCCCACCTCCCTGATACCCATCTCCACTTCTAGTAACCATCATTCTACTCTCTGTCTCCATGAAATCAATTTTTTTTCATATTTAGCTCCTGCATTTGAGTGAGAATATAAGAGATTTGTCGTTCTGTGTTTGACTTATTTCACTTAACATAACGTTCTCCACTCCCATCTATGCTGTTGTAAATGGCAGGATTTCATTCTTTTCTGGCTATCTTTATGCCATTGTGTGTATGTACCACAATTTCTTTATCCATTCACACACTGCTGGACGCTTAACTTGATTGCAAATCTTGACCATTGTAAATAGTGCTTCAATAAACATGGGAGTACAGACTACTACAATACATTGAATCTCCCTTCCTCGGTATATGCCCAGGAGGAGGATTTCTGGGTCATATGTAGTTCTGTTTTTAGCTTTCTGAGGAACTTTCATACTGCTCTCCATAGGGGTGTACACTATTTTACATTCTCACCAACAGTGTGCAGGGGACACCTTTGTCCACATCCTCGCCAGCATTCATTATGGCCATCTTAACAAAAGTAAGAGGATATCTCACTTTAGTTTTGATTTTCATTTCTCTGATGACTAATAATGCTAAACATTTTTTCATACACCTGTTGGACATTTGTATGTTCTCGTTCGAGAAATGTCTATTCAGGGGCTTTGTCCATTGCTTAATGAGATTATTTGATATTTTTCTACTGAGTTGTTAGAGCTCCTCACATATTCTAGAGATTACTCTTTTGTCAGATGGGTAGTTTGCAAATATTTTCTACCATTCTGTGGGTTGTCTCTTCACTCCCCACTTTGTTGTTTCCCTGCTGTGAAGAAGCTTCTTAGCTTGATATGATCCCAAATGTCCAATTTTGCTTTGCTTGCCTGTGCTTTGGGAGTATTACTCAAAGAGTCCTTGCCCAGACTAATGTTCTGAAGTCTTACCCGAATGTTGTCTGTCAGTAGTTTCACATCTTAGGTTTAAGTTTTCAATCCATTTTTATTTGATTTTCATATATGGCAAGAGATAAGGGTCTATAATGGTTTCATTGACTTGCATGGGTGCGTAGGAATATCCATTTTCTCAGCACCATTTATTGAAGAGACTGTCCTTCATCCCACTGTGTGTTCATGGCACCTTTGTGGAAGACAAGCTCACTGTAGATGTGTGGATTTATTTCTGGGTTCTCTATTCTCTTCCATTCATCTATGTGCCTGTTTTTATGACAGTACCATAATATTTTGGTTAGTAGAGTTGTGTAGTATAATTTTAAGTCTGGTAAGGTGATTCCTCTAGTTCTATTATTTTTGATCAGGATGGCTTCAGCTATTCTGGGTCTTTTGTGGATCCATATACATTTTAGGATTATTTTTCTATTTCTGTGAAAAATGTCTTTAGTATTTTGATGGTGATTGCATTGAATCTCTAGATTGCTTTGGGTATTGTAGACATTTTAACAAAATTGATTCTTCCCATCCATGAGCATGGAATATCTTTCCTTTTTGTGTTCCTTTTCAATTTCTTTCATCAATATTTTATATTTTGTTTTGTTTTGGTTTTTTTGTTGTAGAGTTCTTTAACTTCCTTGGTTAATTTTATTCCCAGGTACTTCATTTTATCTGTACCTATTATAAATGGAATTATTTTCTTGGTCTCTATCTCAGATTATTTACTGTTGGCATAGAAATGCTGCTGATTTTTGTGTGTGTTGATTTTCTTGTGAAACTTTACTGAATTTGTTTATTAGTTCTAATAGGTTTTTAGTGAAGTTTTTAGGTTTCTTTAGATATACAATCATATTATCTGCAACCAGGGATAATCTGACTTTGTTCCTGTTTCTTCTCTGATTGCTCTACCTAGAACTTACAGTAGTATGTTGAACAATGGTGGTAAAAGTGGGCATCCTTGTTTTGTTTTGGATCTTAGAGTTTTCCCTTGTTCAATATGACACTAGATGTGGGTTTGTCATATTTGGTGTTTATTGTGATGTAGTATGTTTGTTCTATACTAAGGTTTATGATAATTTTTAGCATGAAGGGCTATTGAATGTCATTAAATGCTCTATTGGCATTAATTGAAATGATCATATGGTTTTTGCCCTCTTTCCGTTGACAATCCGTTCCCACTGATTGATTTGCCTATGTTGAACCATCTTTGTATCCCTGGAATAAATCTCACTTGATCATGATAAATGATCTTTTTAATGTGTTTCTAAATTCAATCTGTTGAGGAATTTCACATCTATATTCATCAGAGATATAGGCCTATAGTTTTCTTTTTGTTGTTGTTGTGTCTTTGTCTGGTGTTAGGATCAGGTTGATATAAGCCTCATGGGATGAGTTTGGGAGTATTCCTTCCTCTTTGTTTATTGGAATAGTTTAAGTAGGATTGGTAGTAGTTCTTTGAATGCTTGGTAGAATTCAATATGGAAGCCATTGGGTCCTGGGCTTTTCTTAGAGAAGAGACTTTTTATTACTTTTTCTGTCTTGTTATTTGTTATTAGTTTATTCAGGTTTTAGATTTCTTTCTGGTTCAGTCTCGGTAGGTTGTATGTGTCTAGAAATTAACCCATTTCTTCAGAGTTTCCAATTTATTGGCAGATAGTTGCTGAGAGTAGTCTCTAATGATCCTTTGGATTTCTGCAGTATTAGCTGTAATGTCTCCTTTTTCATCTCTAATTTTATTTATTTGAATCTTCTCTCCCTTTTTTTTTTAAGTCAGGCTAAAGATGTGTCATTTTTTATCTTTAATAAAAAACAACTTTTTTTCATTGATCTTTTGTATGGGGGGGGTTCTATTTCATTGATTTCTGCTCCAAACTTTATTATTTTTCCTTTTAAAAATATTTTAAAATGGAATACAGATTTATTACATTGGGGTTTTCATACCAAACATACAAAATAGAAACTTGGTAATTTATCTTTTGAATATATGATATATAAATATCACTTAACACATTTTCTTTCCCAAAATACCTTCTATAGGAAAAGAATTATTCAATGATTTTGAATGTTGACAACTTGATTTGATCACCAAACTGCAATCTTAAAAATGTGGACTACTCAACAAATTGCAAATGGTACAGCCACATGGGAAAGCTTCTGAATTGAATTCCAGGTGCTTAGGAGGACAAGAAAATAAATACCCTGGTGATTTTATGTGACATAGTTTAATACAAAAGAATAAAAAAGAGGATGTCTCAATGGAGATGAAAAACTGCAGTGGGGTAAAAGAATTTATTTTCCTTGGCCTATCCCAGAATCAAGGAATAAGTTTGGCCTTATTTCTTTTCCTACTTTTGGTGTATGTGACAACTCTGCTGGGAAACTTCCTCATCATGGTCACTGTGACCTGTGAATCCCGCCTTCACACACCCATGTATTTTTTGCTCCGTAATTTATCTGTTGCCGATATCTGCTTTTCCTCCATCACAGCTCCCAAGGTTCTGGTCGACCTTATGTCTGAGAGAAAGACCATCTCCTTCAATGGCTGCTTCACTCAGATGTTCTTCTTCCACCTTATTGGAGGGGTGGACGTATTTTCTCTGTCAGTGATGGCATTAGATAGATACGTGGCCATCTCCAAGCCCCTACACTATGTGACCATCATGAGTAGAGGCCGTTGCATTGGGTTAATAGTGGCTGCCTGGGTGGGGGGCTTTGTCCACTCCATCGTACAGATTTCCCTGTTGCTCCCCCTCCCCTTCTGTGGACCCAATGTTCTTGACACTTTCTACTGTGATGTCCCTCAGGTCCTCAAACTCGCCTGTACAGACATTTTCATGCTTGAACAATTGATGATTTCCAACAATGGACTTCTCACCACACTGTGGTTTTTTTTGCTCCTGGTTTCCTATATGGTCATACTATCATTACTCAAGTCTCAAGCAGGTGAGGGCAAGAAGAAAGCCCTCTCCACCTGCACCTCTCACATTACAGTAGTGACCCTGCATTTTGTGCCCTGCATCTATGTCTATGCTCGGCCCTTCACTGCCCTTCCCACAGATAAGGCCATCTCTGTCACCTTCACTGTCATCTCCCCTCTGCTGAACCCCTTGATCTACACTCTGAGGAACCAGGAGATGAAATCAGCCATGAGAAGACTGCAGAGAAGACTTGTGCCCTCCAAAAGGAACACACTGATACTTCCCTCCTCTCACCATCTTTAAAAATGTTTTCCCAGAGTATAAATTCTACTTACTGATTTCTAGTTAATGTTTAAAAATCCAAAGAGACACATGACTTTTTAAATATTCTGATCTACATGTGATAATAACACAAAAAGGTGGATTTTGTATCACAGAAAAAGAAGTACAGACATAAAATTATTAGCAGGACAGATTGCAACATAGCTTTGGAAAAAATAAAGGAAATAGAATCAAAATACTCTCAGACATTGCTACTACATTTCTGTACTATTCCCAGGAAGGGAGCTGAGACACAGATTAGAAAAGTAATGCAGATAGAGTACTAGGATTTCATAAAATCTTTCATGAAAATCACATCCAAATTAAGTTTCTTCTCCAGTTCTCTAATATAAACAAATTAAATAACTATCACCTGAAGATTTCTTTAATCTAAAGCTCATACTCCAGGGTGGGAGAGAAGATGCCTGAGAGGTAGCACAGTTTGAGCTGGCCTATATGGATCTCACCAATTATGAGCTCTCTGAGTACTTGAGCAAAGTACTAGCCTGACTTTTCTTTGCATCCCAGGCCCACTGGCCACCCCTTTAATGCATTCCCTCACCAGCCTGTGCTTAGCTCCAGCATAGCACCTGAAACCCTGTTTCAAATTTCCTGTTGTCTTTCATGTTCCCAGCACCTGGGCACACTGGGATACAGTAAGTACTACTAAAAAGCAGTTGCATTAAAACAGTGAATTAATACTGCCTCTCACTCATTTCTGCTTTTCAAATCATTGGAAGGTATTAAGAAAATAATTAGTCTATTTTTATGTTATGAAAATGATTGAAAACTATGAAGTTTCTTCACACTATACATATATATTCAAAAAGGCTGGAATAAAGTCAAAAACATTATTCGATATATCAACTTGGTTATTAACACTAACCATTTTCAGCTGCTCAGGAGGATTTTGTCCCCATTTCTGAATGAAGATCTTAGATCTTAAAATTGTTAAGTTGGAAAAATGTTTAAGTTGTGAAACAAAACAAGATGTCAGTTCATAATTCAGATAATGCAAAGGCCCTGAGGTGAGGATGTATCCAGAAAGCCCAAGAAACATTAAGGAGCCTTGATGTTTGTGACTGTGTAGGAAGAAGCAAGGAAGAACACAGGAGCATGTGGCTGAGGTCAGAGATGATGGAGTCTTGGGACCAGGTCATCACAGCCTATGTAGAACATTGCAAAATTCTTTTTATTATTATTTTTTATTAAATCATAACTTTGTACATTGATGCTCTTGAGAAAAATGAAAGCATTTCAATGGCTAGAAAAGCAGAACAATGATACATATTTTGACAGGATTGCAAAGGTTAGTTACTGTTGTGAATAGACTGAAAAGAGGCCAGGACAAATATATAGAAACCAATTAAGAACCTACTATAGGCAGGATGCTGTGATCAGTGGTTAGAGTACCATGCCCCCCCCACACACACACACACAGAAGAATTTAGTACAGTAGTCTCAGGAAAGAAATAATGAAGATATGACTTAGGGTAGTGATGGTGGTCATGGTGAGAAATTCAAAAAGATGTAAAGGTCAAGCTAGAGGGACCCAGTGTGAGTTTCTGCACTACATGTATACCTTGTGAGAATTTTCTCATCCAGGTTGGTCATGAGCCCTATAAGAGCTCCTTTTCCATTTTATAATTCATATGAAAGTGTAAGTGTTTACATATTGATTTCATAATACTGTTAAGTACATTGGATACTTTTTTTCCCCATTCTTGAGGTGTTTACTAAGAAGAATATGTTCCAGGGGGGCGGAGTCAAGATGGCAGACTGCAGCCAGCTTTTTACAGAGGCTCCCATCCAGAAGGTGACTTAAAGGACAGAAGTTTAGCAAGGGACCTGATGGTTTGGAGTGGAGCCAAGAGAGAAGATTGAAGAATGCACTTCAACCTTGTTGAGATGAGCTGCAACCCCGAAAATACAATCAAAAGGTACAAAATCCACCACAAAGCAGACGGGGTGCCCTCCCCCACAAGAAGGCCTCGCAGTTTACTCCATACAAACAAGCGAGCAGAGTTCAAACATCCTCCCACTCTACCCCATGGGAGAGACTCCCTAATAACTGGACCTCCTACCCCTACTGGCATGCCACAGCACCCTCCTGCTAGATATAAAACTGTAAAACTGTATAAAAATTGTATATATTCCCTACCTGCAACTCTGAACTCCAAGGATTTCCTACCCCCAACTCTGAGCCCTAGGTCTGGAGGTTTGTCACCATGGAGTCCAGATTCTTGGGCAGTTCCTTGAGAGGAGTGGAGGGGGAAAGGGCTGGTGCTGCTTGGTGCTGACTCTGTGGCACAGGAGTTAGGAGAAGAACTTTACCTCAAAGGAGCTATGCTATCCTGAGCTGCAGGAAATGCTCACATCCCTGATACCCTGTCTCTCTGGGTAACCAGAGGTTCTGGACAGCAGCCACTGGCGGAAGTGGGAAATTTTGTGAGTAAAGAGACCATAATAGCACCTTAGCCCTCAGGAGAATATAACTGCGACAAAGGCAGTGGGTGGGCAGAGGTAGGAATTGACACCTAAGTGTAAACTCTAATTGCTTGCTGCCCAGGGCTGAGTTTCTTATCAGCTCTAGCAGCCTCTGACATGCAGAAGAATTTAGCCAGGACAGAAGGCATGGGGCTGGAACTGAGTGAACTTCCCCAGACTAAATTAAACATCCAAGGCCCTCCTGCTGGGCTCAGATCTCCTGGTGACTCTAGCAGTCGTAAACCCTGGGAGCAATTGTTTACTGGAGTGAACTGGGTCACAGCCCTGTGGGATTACCAGTGACTGGGTACAAGGTGGGGAAGGAGGGATCAACCTTCCCAGACTAGTTCATTTGCTGGGTGGGTCCTTTTGCCCTTATGGAGCACTGGAGCAAGTTATATCTGAGCTGCCAGCAAACCTCTGTTATCTAGCTGCCAGAGACATTTGAATTCTCCCACCTGAGATTGGTGCTGACTGGGACAACTGATTTGGAACCCTTGAACTGAGCAAACCACCCAAGGACTATCCAAAGTGGCACCCTGGGTGTATGGTTGAAGGATGGTTTGATATTCCTTGCCCAATTGTTGTTTGGGAGGGTGGGGGCAGGCAACTTAATTGCTGGTATTTCTCCACAGCTGAGACTTCAACCAAGAGTAACTGATTCACCAGGGTAGGAAAGAGACCAGCTGAAAATAAGACAGAGTCACTTAGCCCCACCACACCAAGCAGGTCCCCAGTCTCTCAGGCCATAACACTGTACAGGTCCTTGACAAAGCTCAAGGGGGAAAATCAAATGGGTAAAGTAATCATGGGGTGGAATCAGCGGAAAAGCTCTGGTAATATGAATAACTAGAGCAGATCAGCCCCACCCCCACCCACAAGAAAGGATGTGGCTGGTAATATGAATAACCAGAGTAGGTCAACCCCTGCCAAGAAAGGATGTGACAGATGAAACTGAAGATCCCCTTTATAAACAGATCGCTAAGATATCAGAAATCGAATTCAGAATTTGGATTGCAAATAAGATTAATAGAATAGAGGCAACGATAGAATTAGAAATTCAATAAGCATTCCAAAAGTTCACTAAAGAATTCAACAAATTCAAAGACAAAAGCACCAAAGATTTTGAAATATTGAGGCAAGAGATTGTAGCCCTCAAAGATCTGAAAAATGCGGTAGAATCCCTTGGTAACAATGCAGCAGGCAGAAGAAAGGATCTCAGACATAGAAGACAAAGCTTCTGAAGGTACCCAAGCATTCAGAGAGGAACAGAAATGGAAAGCAAAAGCAGATCATTCTCTCAGAGACCTCTGGGATAATTCAAAAAAACTAATGTTCTCCTCATAAGAATCCCTGAAGGTGACGAAGTTGCTTCACAAAACACAGAGGCTCTTCTGTATGAAATTATGAAAGAGAACTTTCCAGATATACCCAGAGATCCTGAAATTCAGATAGCAGCCAGCTTCAGATCCCCAGCATGACTCACCCCGAATAAGACATCCCCCAGGCACATCATAATTAACTTCACTAAAGTTAAAATGAAAGAGAAAATCCTGCAAGCTGCTAGACGTAAGAAAACCATAACCTACAAGGGGAAGAGTATTAGGATGACTGCAGATCTCTCTGCCTAAATCTTTCAGGCCAGAAGAGGGCGGTCATCAACATTTAATCACCTAAAACAAAATAATTTTCAACCCAGGATCCTGTATTCAGCTAAACTGAGTTTCATTTATGATGGAGAAATTAAATACTTTAATGACATTCATATGTTGAAGAAATTTGCCATAACTAAACCAGCTCTCCAGGATATTCTCAGAGCTATCCTCCATAATGACCAGTGCAATCCTCTACCACAAAAGTAAACTAACTCAGAAACTGTTGATCAAACTCCAACTTCCACAGTGGCGAAAGGATTAAAAATGTCCACTGGACTTTCAAACAACTCGATACCTAAAATTTTACCAGGCTTATCAATAATTTCAATCAATATGAATGGCTTAAATTGTCCCCTAAAGAGGCACAGATTGGCTGATTGGATACAGAAACTCAGACCAGACATCTGTTGTATACAAGAATCTCATCGTATTTTAAAAGACAAATATAGACTCAGAGTGAAGGATCGTCATCTATATTCCAGGCTAATGGAAAGCAGAAAAAAGCAGGTGTTGCAATATTATTCACAGATACAACAGGTTTTAAACCAACAAAAGTAACCAAAGATAAAGATGGCCACTTTATATTTGTTAAGGGCATTACTCAATACGATGAGATCTCAATTATCAATATCTATGCACCCAACCAGAATGCACCTCAATTTATGAAAGAGACTCTAACTGGCATGAGCAACTTGATTTCTCCCAGCTCCACCATAGCTGGAGATTTTAACACTCCTTGGCAGTGTTGGATAGATCCTCCAATAAGAAGCTTAGCAAAGAAATCTTAGATTTAAATTTAACTATTCAACATCTGGATTTAACAGACATCTACAGAACATT